TCCATGATTAATAAATTGTAGTGCTGCGTGCCATTTATCTGGTGCTGAACCTGGATGCCAATTATGGTTCTTGAATGGCCATCGTGTTGAAAGTACAACGGCCTGCTCAAAAAATTTCATAAACATTATCTGGTGTGTATTTACAAATAGAAATAGTGTATGCATTTTCACAGCTAATATGCAGCCAACATGCCAAGACTCCTAAAACTAAGTGAAATTCACTTACGGTTTCCCACTAAAGACAACACGCTGATTGCCATATTGGATGGGATTGTTGTCAGAGAAGTAATTCCAGACCCAGTCAATAAGAACCTGATCACCCTTTATATTGCCAAAGGGAATGCTAAAATGTGTACGACTCCCATTACTAGACGAAGCTGCATCAAGAATTTTGGAATCGCCCTTCAACAGAAATTTATCCATTGGTCCATAAACTTGCATAGCCTTCATTTTCCCTGCAGTTTTATCTAAGATTATATCCTTGCTACAAAAATCTACTATCCTGGCACGAAGACCAAATGAGCGGAAAAGTGCAGCACACTCTGTGGTTCCAATCCAATTTCTTTTTCCATAAATTTTCTGATCGAAGTCATTTGAGCCATGTGTATCAAAACCTCTTTCCCAAGCAATTTCAAGCCATCTTTGTAAGGAAGCAATATCGGGTACAAACCCAGAACCACCATACAGAACCTCCCTTGCTTCTTGTCTCTGTTTAAGCAGATGAGAACTAAGCATCTGGATATTACGCCACCCACATCCCCACCCAACATCCTCTGATTCAACACTCTGAAAGTGATCGATGTACCCAGACAATATACTCACTGCGTTCTTTGAGTCTGATTCCAAACAATTTGCTAACAAAGCCATCAAGCCGTCTTCAACTTGGCAAAAGCTCTCCTTGATCTGTGTCTCTACTAAGTAACAAAATTTTTCATCAGTATCTATCCTTCCACTGGTAGTTCCCTTGGCATCGTACCTTAAAAAACTGCTCTTGGGATTGTCCCATGAACTATCTATACGTTCCATGGAATTGTCAACCTGATCATAACAAGGAATTCCTAATGTTATTTAAAATTGCAACTACCCATAAACTGATGTACAAGAAAGATGGCATATTTCAAGAAGTAAAATAGAAAAATGTCTAACCACCAAAGCTTAAGTGAGAAGACTCAATAAACAAACTAATTGTGTAATTTATCCTAACATGATGCATAATATAAATATAGATTCTCTGTTCTTGTTTAAGTATAGTTTCATCTACTTTCGTCAATATGCATGATTACTTATTCTAGTTCCTTATTCTTTTCTGTTCAAGTATTCTAACTCTGCAATTGTTAACACCGTGTCTCCACTTTTCAAGGCAATAAGCCAATAAGTTAATCGAAAATTACGAACAAGTAATATTACAAATGAACACAAGCCTTCAATTAAGCGAGTTCCTTTCTATTTCTTCAAAACATTTCTGTCCTTGTTATCAAACTGATATACTATTCCTAATAAACTATATACAACATTTTGTGGTCAGAAAAAAGGCAACAGGTCATTTCTCCAAAACAATGCTGGCTCCAGTCCTATTCAGTACTTGGTCAATAAATTGCCTGATAAAATTAAGATACTAAGTTACAAATTGAGCGATCGAACAATTTTTAAATAAACAAGCACTTAATTATATACCAAAAAATTAAAATAAACTCATATTTAATTCATGAATAAACAGACTGTTCTCTTGTGCATATAAACAAACAGATATATACAAGAATAAAGACACGTCACACGCGAATACGCACAAATATAAGAATAGATACATAAACGTGTGTATATACATACAAATAGATGAGCCACAGATATTTGTCGCGCTAATTGGAGGTCTCGGGCATATTCTTCATCGTCCAAGTGATCATTAGCGTGTCTGTAAAATCGAAATTTAATAGAAATATAATAATCGAAGAATTTAAAAATCGCTTAATAATGGTGGAAATGAAAAATTGTTTATGAACGGGAGCAAAACACGACCCAATGCAAAATATACCTCTCGAGTTCCACAAACGAAACTGTTAGATTACAAAACGGGCAAGCGGAGAATTCCATGGAAGAAATGGAGTGAAAATTGGAATTTTTTGGGCGGGTTTTTGAAAAAACAGCGAGAAATGCTAGCAATTCCTTTTCGACCACTTAATGGAGGTCGCAGGTGGGCCTTTTTATTTTTATCAATTTTATTATTATTATTATTTTTTTTTTTCCATTTGTTTGGAGCCATTTCTTGCCCCCCAATCCTCATTGACTAATGAGAGTTTAGATATTAAGAGCATGTTTGATACAGTTTAAAATTCAATTAAAATCAATTTTTTTATCGTTATTTTACTATTTCAATCGTCATTTTTGAATTGTTCTCTCACAAATAGGATCCACTTTATCTCTAACGGTCAAAAAATCAATTAACAAAATCCCTATCAAACAAACGCTAAATTAGTGTGGATGATCTTTGGGTCAGTTTACCACAAGGGTCTTGGATTTTCATTTCTCCATTGTCTAGTTTTTAGAAATTCAGTAGTTGTTTAGTTGTAGAATTATTAACGAGTTTCAATGATCACTAAATTTAGGTAAATTCCTTTGATTAGTCACTGAAATTTAAAATGTCTAATTTTAATAACAGAATTTAGGTACATATCTTTGATTGTTCATTGAAGTTTAAGGCCCCTGTTTGATACCCATTTTTTGTAAGAATAAGAATGAAAAATATAATCGTTACGGGACCCACACTAGAGATAGAAAATCAAATATGATGACTTGATGTGATGAATAACGGTCATATTTTTTATTTTTATGGCCAAAGAATGGGAATCAAACGGGAGCTAAAATATCAAGGTTTGATCACTGAATTTTGAAAAATATTGTACATTACTCACTGTAAATTCGACATTCTTCAAAATTTAATATTTATGCTGATGAGTAACATATAACATTTTTCAAAATTCAGTATCCAAAACTCGACATTTTAAACTTACGTAAACAATTGAAGACATGGACATAAATTTAGTGACAAAAACTCTACATTTTAAATTTCAGTAACCAATCTAAAACATGGACCTAAATTCAATGATCATTGAAATAATTAATTCATTATTAACTAATTATTAGAGTTATAAAAATTGACTCGAAACGATCAAATTCAAGCAGTAAATCGATCTTGAAATGATTGAAAAAAGATACATCCTTGTCCACCTGTTAACCCTGGGCGTTCTTACTATTCCGACGAGCGTTTATGACCTGAAAAATGAGGGGCGGGGCTTTATCCCCCGTTTCACCTCCGACATGAGAATTAGTGTATGTGTTAAGAGAAATTCAAACGGAATTTAGATGGCCAAAAAATGTCAATCCCCTTACCTGTGTCGCCTTCGGGGGTATTTATAGGTGCTGAAAGTCGGGTGAGTGCCAGGTGATCACGGTGCCATGTGTCCTACATTAGTTTTCCCACTACCCCCACGTTCTCCACATTCTAGGTGGGGGGTCTCTAACTTCCCGCCTGAAGGTTATGCCCGTAATAACCGCTGATAAGTGTGTTTTTTGCGTACTTAATTAATATCTAAATATGTTATTTATTGATTAAATGAATGAAATTCTACTCACAATTATGTAATATTTATTTTTGTAGGCCAAAAATCATCAAAGGGAAGAGAACAAGGCAAAAGGGAATGAAAAGGACCAAAACCGCACAAAAATGTGAAGTTGGGGACCAAAGTGCACAAGTACCAAAAGTTGAGGACCTAACGTTGCAATTTTGGAGGGCAAAAGTGATATCAAAATCAAAATTTGAGTACTAGATTGTACATGATCAAAGTTGAGGAGCCTTGTGTGCAATTAAATGGAGGACTACGTTGAAAAAAGAAATAAAGAAAGCCAACGCTTGCGCGTGGGAGACCTTTTTGATTTACCGAGATCAAAAGGGTTTTATGATGCGCGCGCGGAACGAATGCCTACGCTTGCACGCCGCTTCTGGCTGGGCGAATTTTGCTGATTTCGAGTAAATTTCGGTACTTCTTTCACAATTTCACTTGACACGATTTTGGCCATTTAAATACCGATTTTTTGGTCATTTTCTAGGGGATTCCAGGTTTTGGGGGCTAGGTCTTCTTCCTCTTTCATTTTTTCTTTCTTTCTCTTCTTCTTTCTCTTCTCTTCCTTTTCTTTTCCTTACTTTGATATTTTGGAGGCACAATCTAGAGCACAAGGAGATTCAATTAAAGATTTGGCAAGATTTTGGGGAAATTAGGAGCAAGCTCAAAAGGGGGTTTTATCTATACCTTGTATTTTCTCTATTATTTTGTCAAACTTACAATGTATTGTATGAAATATTCTCCTTTTTATCTTGGGATTTATGATATTAATTTAACCTAACTTTTAATTAATTTTGATATTTCCTTTTTAATGTTAAGTCATTTATTTTCATGTGTTTCTACTATTGTATTTATTTTATTTTCATTTATGTGGCCAATGAATTATTGTGTTAAGTGATTTGTATATCGTTCGATAGAATATTGTGCATTTTAGACCAAGTAGTAGAAACCCTAAGTTTGTTTAGAGGATAGAAATATGCCCTAACCCTAGGCGACCCATTGAGCTATTTTCACAAAAATTTAATGCTGCTGTTTGGTTTTAATCGACATAGAGATATAGTAGGTTAAACCAATCAGTCAGAGTTAATTTCGCTCGAGAGAGGTAATTGATTAAAATTGGAAGATCGTGTCTAATATCGTGAATGAGTAATTTGTTAATTGGCTTATGAAGAAATTAGTTAGCCGACAGTTAAGCGAAACCATAAATCCCAACCACTCTTGCTTCCTAAATTTCTAAGACTTTTACCTTTTCTTATTTTGTAGGTTTTTAGTTAATTTCCTCATTTAAAATCATATCTTTAATTTTATTATTATGTATCATTTGCCTAAGTAAGTTGAGCAGTACAATTTAAAGTTGGAGGCCTATTTCACTGTACACTTGGCATCCACCCAATGGCCCCTAACTTGGAGGGAATTTTTATCCCCAAAAAAATTCGAATTTTCTTGCTTATAAAAAAGGGTGTGGTCCCTCGCATGTAAATCATTTTCACCTCCTCCTAACATCTTAGTCTTCCCTCTCTTCCAAGGTAACTTTCTCCTCTTTTCTTCTTCCTTTTTGGTAAAATCATGTACAAGACTATCATTTCTTCTTCTTCCGACGAAAGTAGTGATGGGGAGCCGATCGATGCCGGGACAAGTTCGGTCGATCGGTCTGCCGACCGACCGGCAACCAGCGGGGCTGGTTGATCGACCAGGTTGGTAGATCGACCAACCCGTGCCTTAACCAGCCCCCCATCGTCCAGTCGCGAGGCTGGACGATCCTCCGACTTCCCCCCTTCGTCCGGTGGATTCCCTTGTGAATCTGATAGTCGAACCCTTTCAGCTAATTCCCAGGTGTTTATTTCAAACTCCCCTAAGAGACATATTGGCTCCACTAAATCTCCAAACCAAAACTTAGAAATCGGGTGGGATCCAGTTGGCGAGATCGTCCCCCTTGAAATCCCAAAAAGTTATAGTCTCTATAATTCCCCACTCAAGTTGGAAAATGTCTCGTTAGGTATGATAGGATCGATAATTATGTCTATAGAGCCCCAGGCCCCAAAGAAAGACTTCCCGGATTCAATCAGCGCGAGGTAGCCGTGTATAAGGACATTATGGATTGGAGTTTTCGGTTTCCCATTCACTCCTTCCTGGTGTTGATTTTCAATGAATTTCACCTTACCCTAGTCAAATTAACCCCAATGCATGGAGAAAGGCATTGTATTTCTCGTATGTTTGCCTTAGGATGAGAATTCCACATTCCATAGACCTCTTCAGGTATGTGTTCGAGATGCACGAACTAGCTCAGTCAATGCATTTGTCTTTCTCACCACTAGGGTCCCTTTGCTCTTTCCCAAGTTTAGGAATTCGAACAGTGGGTAAAAATTCCGGTTCTTCTTTGTTCGACTTCCAAAAGGCGATTCCCTTTCAATACCAACTGGCGACATCCCCAAATTTGCCGTTTCAATAGCCAAGTAGAAATTACTTTTCTTCTAAAAACTCAAATCCAGGAGTTGGTCGATGTACCCCCTGTCTCACCTGATTTAGGATCGGCTCTGACCATGAGGAACATGTTAATAGCGGGGATGAGTCGTCCTAATGGTAAGTTGTTTTTGTTGGTTTTTGCAATTTTTTGCTTGCACATATTTCTTGTTTGTTATTTTTATGGGCTAATAAGTTTGGGTGTGTGTATGTAAATATGGATTTTGACCTTGACGAGGTATTGAAGACCCTGCCAAGTGGCGACGAGGACCTTGCTCCTATTGACGGTAAGCTCTTAAGGTCCTATTTTTTGCTTCATATTCCTATATTTTTTTAAACTTATTGGACCTTGCTTTACATGTGCAGGGATGGAGTTTGATTGGGAGGGGACTATGGATTCTATGCCCGAATAGGGACATAGGAGTGATGTTGATCCATCCTCCATTCCTTTAAAAAAGGAAGAAGACAGTCGTCCAGGAAGGAGGGTCTCAGATGGCCAAAGAGACCCCCTAGCCTTTAGATGAGCCTATCGAGTTTGTCCCTGCTCCTAGGCCAGACGCTTCCAACCGTATGCAACGCGAGCGCGAGGATTCACTTTCGAATTTCGGGTTTCCTCCCACCCGAGGCTATCATGAGATAGGGGTGCTTAAGTCTTTGGTGACACCCGCTCGAGCTAGGGCGATTGCATGTCGTAGCGCAGACGACATCGAGAGGGCTACAACGATCTATCTCCAAAAGGTATGTTTCTAATTCCATATCTCTTTTACACCGAGTCTTATCTTTTGAGCATAGTTTTACCACTCGACTCTCACATTGTCTCCTCATCCTTTAGGTGGTGGCCCTTCAGACCAGGCTTGCTGAATCGAGTCGTCGTCAGGCCTTAGAGTTGAAGACTCTTGCAGAAGAAAAAAAGAAAGAGGCCCATCATTATAAGAAAAAGATATTTTCCTTGAAGAAATCTCTAGAGGCGTCGGAGGCTCGAGCCAGCAAGCAGGAGACGGAGAATGATAATTTGCAGTCTGCGTTGGCTCGTGCTCCGGAGGAGGCAGTCGAGAGGCATAAGGCCTCTGCTGAATATAATAGGGACTTAGAGGCATCTATGGAGCAGTACAAGTCATCATCTGATTATGCTAGGGCCTTGCATTCGTACGGGAGGAAGGCGATGGTGGCGTCCATCAAAATAACAAAGGAGTGGATATCGACCGACCACCCTTTTATTGACCCTTCAGGTTTTGATAGGTTCCTTGCGCAGCGTAAGGGGAAGGAAAGTCGAGCGCAGCCATCCAAGTCACTTAGTCATTCATCGCAGGACGACAGTGGTGGTGCTTCCCCTTCGAGTTGAAGCATAGTAGTACCTTTTGTTAGTCCCCCTCTTTTTTGTGTTGCCTTTTATTTCTACTTGTAGCATTATTCACTACTTGTCCGGGGTCTGGGCAAGAGCACATCACATTTTATTTTTTGTATGAATGCTAAGTTATCAGCGGTTATTAATATTGAATGCATCGTTCTTTTAACTTTTTTTTTAGCGTTGTTTTCCTTGCTTAGTCGTTTGACAGCATAGGTGAATGGCATTCGTCCCACGTGTGCTAGACTTGATTCTAATGGTCGACGGCTGATTACGCCCAAAGTATAACGCGGTGATTGTAGTGCAGCTTTGGGGTGTCGTATCCACGGGGAGATGAAAATTTTCTCAAAAAATAAAACAAACTAGGATTTTCGTAATTTTATGTGGGAATGATTTGTCACTTGGAATAAAAATTAATTATCAATATGCGAAATAAGTGAAGCGTCGGAATTCCCCCATTGGATTGGATCAATCGACATCAATAATTCATGTATTTTTCCTCAATTAGAGATTTTCTTCCCAACTCTCTAATCGGAAGGTTTAACAATAAAGTCCAATTTAATTCCAATTATATTGCTAGAATCTAGATTTTCTATAACACATTTGCACATTTTTTTATTGGAACAAGATCAAAGATCGACCATATACATCAAGCATAAGGCAGTAATCAATTCGCCAATAAAGTAATATTAAGATTAAAATTCAACAATTATTTCAATCATTCGATAGAAGGAACATGGATAGATCTATGAAGGATTTGATAAAAGTTAAAATAATCTCAACAATAAATAATTCAAATTGTAATTCAACAAGTATTTCGAATATTCGATAGAGAAAGCATGACCGAATCTATGGAAATTCTAATAATTGCTAAACTAATGTCAAAAATATATTCAAGATATGGAAATTCGATTCTAAAATTGTTTAATAATGAAAAACTCAATTACATGAATTAAAGATGTCGAAATCACCAAAACCGATTGGGATCCTTCGTTGCTTCACCAAGTTCCTTAGTTTTCTATGGAGTTTCTTGAGCACCAAGATGAAAGAAATAGGTCTGGGGGCATCTGCCTTCGTTCTGGGTGGTTTTAGACATTTATATCCCGTGAATATTAGGTTACCATAAGAGATTCAATCGTATAAGAAAACTAAGATTCGGCAGCCCAAAAAACACTATGCGACCGCATGGTTATTGTCATTGCAGTCGCATGGTTATGCACTTTCAGCCTCTTCAACTCTCGGTATAGGTGTGTGCGACCGCATAGTAGAAAGGCATGCGACCGCATGGTTCCGCCAGACAGCTTTCAGTGTTTTAATCATAACTTTCTTTTCCGATGTCCAATTGAGGTGATTCAAGTTGCACTGGACAGATAACTCAAAGGGACACAATTTTTATTCAAAAGTCATCTCCCAATTCGATCATCTTCCATGTCAAAAATGGGTCCCAACATGAGACTAAAAACTGGTGTGTTAGTTTTCGATTGGAAATTGATGTATTGATCAAACTTTGACGTTATTTCATCCCTTTGCCTTCTTTCCTCATCCACTTGACCTCTAACACTTTCGAATCTTCATCATAATCTTAGACACAAGTTTGGATCATTTGCACTTTAGTCCCCGAACTTTCGTTCTTTTCTACTTTGGTCATTTTTCACTTGTTTCTTCCGAATTTCATCTTTTTCACCAAAATGCAACCTAAACCAAAATATAAGAGTAATGAGTGCATTTTGGCATAATATAATCACAGGAATTCAATAGTTAAGAGGGGAAAATATGGTATTTTACACTCTTATCAACGACCTTAGCCAATATTTCGACCGTTTTAAGGCTTTTCGCCTAGCCATATGGGCTAAGTTGACTGTCGAAAGAGGGGTCTAGCGGTCAAGGGCCTTAGCCAATTTTTTGGCTTTTTCAAGGCTCTGCACCTAGCCACGTTGACTTTTGATAGAGAGATCTAGCGATTAAGGGCCTTGGCCAATTTTTTGGCTTTTCAAGGCTCTCCGCCTAGCTGCGTGGGTTATGTCGATCGTCGGGAGAGGGGTCTAGCAATTAAAGGACTTAGCCAATTTTTTGACTTTTCAAGGCTTTCCGCCTAGCAGCGTGGGCTATGCCAACCGTCGAGAGAGGGGTCTAGCGGTTAAGGGCCTTAGCCAATTTTTTGACTTTTCAAGGCTCTCCGCCTAGCCGCGTAGACTATGTCGACCGTCCGAAGAGGGGTCTAACGGCTAAGGGCCTTAGCCAATTTTTTAGCTTTTCAAAGCTCTCCGCCTAACCGCGTGAGTTATGTCGACCGTCGAGAGAGGGGTCTAGCAGTTAAGGACCTTAACCAATTTTTTGGCTTTTCAAAGCTCTCCACCTAGCCGCGTGGGAGAGGGGTCTAGCGGTTAAAGGCCTTAGCCAATTTTTTTGACTTTCAAGGCTCTCCATCTAACCGCGTGGGCTATGTCGACCGTCGAAAAGGGTTAAGGGCCTTAATCAATTTTTTGGTTTTTCAAGGCTCTCCGCCTAGCCGCGTGGGCTGTGTCAATCACATATCCTTACGGGATAAGCACAAGAGATTCAAGACTGCATGTTAGCATATAAAAATACTTGGATTCGTGAGCTCAATAGGCGCACCGAGATGTCTCAACTAGGCTGGCCCTTCCTTAGCGCCATCATCATTCGCCACTACCAAGGTCTTTCATTAATCAAGATAGATAATTGCAACTAAAGGCGCCTTTGCGAGGCATTACATGGAGGGAACTAACAACGCAACATATTCTACTGTATTTACAAAAACATAGCATGTGTATCCACCCTGAAGTCTACTAGTAATATCTTTTGATATGCTCTGCATTCCATGGCCTATCCAGTGGTCTTCCTCTCATGTCTTTCAGGCTATAAGCTTCCTTCCCCAGGCTGCGGATCACTTCATACGGGCCTTCCCAGTTTGGTTCCAGCTTTGTCGAGGAGTGTCCTGTTGCCGCTGCATCCCTTAAAATGAGGTCTCCTGACTGAAAGATTCTTGGGTTCACCCTCCAATTGAAGTACCCCACAACTCTTCGTTTATAGACCATCATCTTTATCGCCGCCTTTTCCCTTACCTCCTCAAGCAGGTCGAGTTCCCCTCTAGTCCCTGTGTCATCGGGTTGCTTGACTTTCATCCTACCAGTCTCACTTAGGATTTCAACTGAAACCACTGCTTCCATCCCAAAGGTTAGTCTGAAATGGTGTTTCCCCGGTCGGTTCTCGTGGAGTCGTGTGATACGCCCATAGCACATTGGGCAGCTCATCTGTCCAAAGTCCTTTTTCCTTTTCCAATCTGGTCTTCAGATCCCAGAGAATGACTCGTTTTGTCACTTCGGCTTGCCCATTCGATTGAGGGTGGGTGACCGAGGTCAATCTATGATCGATGTGATAACTTGCACAAAAGGTCTTGAAGCTATGATTATCAAATTGCCTGTCGTTATTTGTCACCAGTACCCTGGGTACCCTGAATCGGCATATTCTATTTTTCCATACAAATCTTTGTATCTTTGCTGTCGTGCACCCATTTGGTAAAGTAGTCGATGGAAACCAGCAAAAACTTTTTCTGCCCTTTGGCCATGGGCAGAGGTCCTAGAATGTTCATTCCCAACTGAAAAAATGGGCACACCCGAAATATGGCTGTCTGCTGTTCGATCGGGACATGGATCAAATTTCCATGACGTTGGCATGTGTCACATTTTCGTACCAACTCTTTGGCATCCTCTTTCATAGTTGGCCAATAGTTACCCTGTCGCAGAATTTTGAAGGCAAAGGATGTTGTCCCTTGGCAGTTATCACAGGTCCCAGCATGTACCTCAAATAGTACCTCTTTGGCTTCGGTGGGACATATGCACTTTAGATATGGCATGGTAAAACCCCGCTTGTAGAGCTGCCTATCGATGATGGTAAATGAAGCTGCTCGAGCTCTTAATCTCCTCACCACCAGGGGGTCTTCCGGCACCTTATTTTTTGCTAGATACTTGATTATCGGATTCATCCAACTTTTCTCGTGTTCAACATTTTTCACCTCAACCCAGCGCTAAATGCTGGGTTGTTGTAGAACTTGCACACTCGCTGTCCGAGGTAAATTTTTTATGTTGGTCGATGTGAGCTTCGCTGGTGTGTCTACGCGTTCATTATCTTTTCGTGAGATCTTCGTCACCTTGAACCTTGTGAACCCTCTTCGCAAATCCCTTACTTTCATTAAGTATGGTGCCATCCTTCCGTCATTCGCTTCGTATTCTCCCGATACCTGCCTGACTATTAGCTGCGAGTCACTGCATACTTCCACTGAAGTCACTCCCATCCTTGCTGCCAAACCCAAGCCTGTGATGACTGCCTCATACTCGACGTTGTTGTTGGTGGCGGGGAACTCAAAGCGCAATGAGTATTCCAATTCTTCAGAGTCTAGTTCGATCATTATGATTCCTGCCTTGATCCCTCTGCATTCAAGAAACCGTCCATGGAGATCTTCCAATCCACCTTCTGCCCTTCTAGGGGCTCTGTCAGGATGGTGAGCTCGGCAATGAAGTCTACCAGAGCCTGGGCTTTGATGGTCGTCCTGGGCCTAAATTCAATGTCAAACTCACTAATTTCAATCATCCATTTCTCTAGCCTCCCGGAGGTTTCTGGTCGATATAGGATCTGCTTGATGGATAGGTCAGTCATTACTTGCACCGTATGGAATTGAAAGTAAGGTCTGAGCTTCCTCGCTGCAACAATCAACGCGAGCACCAGCTGTTTAGCCAGACTGTATCTTGTCTCTGCGCCTTTGAGTACCTGACTGATGTAGTAGATAGGCTTTTGTGCCTTCAGGAGTTCTTTCACAAGAATGGCGCTAATTGTCCGTGGTAACACCGCGAGGTAGAGATACAGTACGTCACCCGGGCATCGACTGATCAGGATAGGAGGCTGCTATAGTGATTTTTTTAAGGATTCCAGCGATTCTTCACACTCTTGAGTCCACTCAAAATTGGTGGAGCCTCCTATGGCTTTAAAGAAGTGGTAACATTTATCCGCCGCCCAACTCATAAAGCGATTAAGGGCCGCCACGCGCTCTATCAGCCGTTGAACCTCTTTCTTACTAGTGGGGCTATTCATTTCCAGTATTGCCTGTATCTTGTCAAGGTTTACCTCAATTCCTCTTTGGGTGATCATGAATCCTAGGAACTTTTCGTCGGTAGTGCCAAAAACACATTTCTCCGTATTGAACTTCAAGTTATTTCGTCGGGCTACGTCAAATACTTTTTGTAGGTAGGCCATGCGGTCGATGGCTTTGATGTTTTTTACCACCATGTCATCGACGTAAGCTTCTATGATATTTCCAATCAATTTCCAGAAAATCCTATTCACCATCCTCTGGTAGGTTGCTCCTGCATTTTTGAGGCCGAACGGCATGGTTGTGTAACAATATGTTTCAAAATTTGTGATAAATGGCATCTTCTCCTTTTCGAATTCGGCCATTGAAATTTGATGATACCCGAGAAATGCGTCCAGGAAGCTGAGCCTTTCGTGACCCGATATGGTTTTAACCAGGTGATCTATTCGGGGGAGTGGGTATGAGTCATTCGGGCATGCTTTATTTAGCCCGGTGTAATCTACACACATGCGCCATTTCCCGTTTGACTTCTTTACTAGCACGATGTTAGCCAACCACTCAAGGTACTGTACCTCCTGAATGAAACCGACTTGCAGTAACTTTTCCACCTCCGCTTTTGCTACTTTCTCCTTTCGGAGGTGAGGTTCCTTTTCTCCTGCTTCACTAGTTTAGTTCTAGGTAAGACACCGAGACGATGTTGAGCGATTGCTGGGCTGATCCCAATAATGTCGTTTGGGCTCCAAGCGAAAACATCTAGGTTGTCTGCAAGGCACTTTACCAACTTTCCCTTTTCGTCAGGTTCTAAACTTGTCCCAATGCTAAACTCCCGTCCTTTCGATACGGTGATTTTCTCAACCATTTCAAGTGGTTCGATCCGCCTTTTTGGAGGTTCAACTTCCAACATCATGACTGGTGGGGCTCCCTTGACTGATATGCTGTCGACATAACATCTCCTGGACACTTGTTGGTCCCCTCGCACATACTCGACTCCTCTGTTGGTTGGAAATTTCATGACCTGGTGATAGGTTGAGGGGATGGCCCTAGCTGCGTTCAGCAACGGTCGACCATAGATCGCATTGTAGGCCATAGGAGTTTTAACAACTAAGAAGCTCACCACAATTACCACAGTAGTCGGACGTGTGTCGAGCGTGACAGGAATCTCTACGGTTCCTTCCGGAATTACCATGGCCCCTCCAAAGCCTTGTAAGGCGATGGTTACCGGTTTCAACTTGTCAAGAGAGATCGTTAAGCCCAAGAAATCATCCATGTAAGTACATTTACTGTGCTCCCTCCATCAACTAGCACCCTCTTAACATCAAAATTAGCTATATCGCCTATTATTACCAGAGCATCATCATGGGGGCGTGCCACACCCACCAAATCATCATTGCTAAAAGTGATGTTCTAACTAAACCTCTCATTTTTTTGGATGGAATAAATCTCGAGAGAACGTGCGTAGCTTTTCCTTGCCGAGTTTGAATTTCCGCCTCCTGCTATCCCCCCTGCAATCATGTTTATCACTTCGGCTCTGGGTGGGGACGATCCTCCATTTTTTGTTTGCCCCGGTTGTCCTTCACGTATTTGTTCAAGAGCCCCCGTCTTAGGAGGTGCTCGATCTCCTCCTTCAGCTGTAGGCATTCTTCAGTATCGTGCCTACGATCTTTGTGGAAATGGCAATATCTGCCCTGGTTTCTCTTGCTGGCTGGCGTTACCATGGGTCTCAGCCATTCAAGCTCCTTCATGTCTCGTATTTCCATCCACAGCTTAGCGCGCGGAGTGTTTAAAGGGGTGAACGCCCTGGACTCCTCCTGTTTTTGTCTTGCTTGTTGGTCTTGGGTTGCCCTCTTACCCGTTTGCTCATTCATTGGCCTGTTTTTGTTGGCAGACCTTAGCTCGTCTCCTGCCTTTCGCTTGTGAGACTCCACTTCCCATACCCCTCTGAGGTTTTTTGTGACCTTCCTACTTCCTCGACATCAACATATTTGTCTCCTTTTTTCAATAGGTCGTGCATTGATTCCGGGGGATTTTTGGAAAGTGACATCTTAAAGGCCCGATTTCGAGTTTCGTTCATCAATGCGGTCACCATTGCCGACATTTGATGGTCCTCTATTCCAAGGGTCGCTCAGCTGAATCTGGCCAAATACTCTTGCAAAGACTCATCCTTCTCCTAGACCACCTGCATCAACCCGATGGTCGTCTTCCTCTTTCTTTTGCTATTGAGGAAGTAGGCCACAAAGCTCCTGGAAAGTTCATTAAATGTTCGGATGGATCAGGGAGAAGTGTTGCCACCCAGTCTCTAGCTTTTCTCCTGAGGGTCGGGAGGAAAGATCAGCACATCACTTCATCAAGTGCTGTATAGAGCCTCATTAAATCAACGAAGGTCCGAGGATGGTCAAGTGGATCTGTGACTCCGTCGTAAGCTTCTATCATAGGCTGCTTGAAGCCCTTAGGCAAGGAGACCGCCATGATTTCAGGCGTGAATGGGTCCTCTTCTAAGACCATCTGCCTGCGCTTTTCCTTTCTCCTTGATATTGCATTATCTATTTTCTGCGTCATGATCTCCTCCATCCTTCGCTCCAGATCCGCAATGGGTGGAGTGGGCTGCAAGATCGTAACCCCTGGAGCCCTTGAGCCTACAATTACCGATTGGATGACAGACGGTGTTTCTATGTGCACCTCCTGAGGTGGAGGCGCGACTTCCACCGAATGCAGCGGGAGGGCGGCTCTCTGCGTTTGATCCTGCAAGAGGGCCATCATAGCCGCTAGCTAGGTCTCCAGGGTGCTGAACTAGCTTTATGTCACGTACTGCGGCGGCGGTGGCGGGTCAAGGCCCCTGGCGACTGATTCTGATTCCTCTCCGCCGTTGTTGCTCTTAAGCGCATATCACTTCTTGTCCGTCTTCTTGACATGGCTTTGGCGTTCAATGAAAGAAACTTCCCACAGACGACGCCAATGAAATGATTGAGAAATGATACCTCCTTGTCCACCTGTTAACCCTGGGCGTTCTTACTGTTCCGACGGGCGTTTATGACCTGAAAAATGAGGGGCGGGGCTTTGTCCCCCCGTTTTACCTCCAGCGTGAGAATTAGTGTATATGTTAGGAGAAATTCAAATGGAATTTAGATGGCCAAAAAATGTCAATCCCCTTACCTGTGTCGCCTTCCGGGGTATTTATAGGTGTTGAAAGTTGGATGAGTGTCGGGCGATCATGGTGCCACGTGTCCCACGTTGGCTTTTCCACTACCCTACGTTCTCCACGTTCTGGGTGGGGGGTCTCTAACTTCCCTCTTGAAGGTTGTGCCTGTAATAACCGCCAAGGAGTTTTGTCAATTTACCTGAGATTTTTTGACTAAGTGTTGGGGTGGTCACATAGGTAACTTCCAGGGAGTCAATGGTCTCGCGTAAAGGTAGAACGCTCCTGGGGGGTCGATGGCTTCGCATAGAGGTAGAGCGCCCTCAGGAGATTGATGGCCTTGCATCGACGTGTAGTGACCTGCTCGTTCGTCGTTGGAGGTGGTTCTCTATCCTAACTTATATCAGATCCTAATCTTTATATTACCCAAACAAGGCATTAACCCAAAAACAAAAAACAAAAACACAAATTAACCTGATGAACCCAAGCAACCTGAACCCACCGGATGAAATTGTTCATTTTTTTCTTTTTATTTATTTATTTATTTTTTTAACATCAACTCAATTTTAGCTTTAACCCCACAAGGCAAAAATTACTTACCAAATACAGACGGGAGAAAACCAGACAACCATTAGGATTTCTAGCAGTAATTTCTTCTTGATATTTCTTTCACTGATGCTCCATCATGGATATGTACTAACCCGTGTTAAATGATTTTCTTTTTTCTTTTTTTAATGTCGTTGCATCTCGAAGAATTTATATTGTT